GACATTTTGGTAAGGCGATAAATGTTACTAGCTAGAACTTTAGCAGTGTACATGGATAAAGTCAAGAGTTTGCGCAATGCCATTTTTGTGCAATTCTGGGATGTTTTTTTAAGTGAAAATAGGTCGACGTGTACATGGATACTGTGTATGTGCAATTCTTAAAAACGCGGCAAGCGATTCTGCACTTTCTCCCAATTTCACACCTAATCTTTGTCATGATTAAGCACTTTTGTTCCATAAAAGTTCTAGGATAAGCGTAATTCGGCTAGCAGATTGTTGGGAAAAAATGTTGAGTTAAAAAAAAAAAAAAAAAAAAACTGCCTTTACTTCGTAAAAACAAAATGGCGTCCAAAAAAAAAAAAAAAAAAAAAAAACTAGCAGGTTGCTGTAGCAGAGTTGGTCGCCAAATTTTCGCCAAGTTACCATAATCCAAATATTAACCGAATTTTCTTTTATTATTAAAGTGTGTGCATTTTTTGATAGGCCGTTTATAAATATAGATGAATTTTAGTTTAATAGGACTGAGGGCCAGACAACCAGCACCTGAGTGGTAAAGTTGCTGAATACTACATATTTAGCCCAGGGTTCCAATTTTGCCAAATGCATGGGCGCTTTCATGGTTTTCCTCAAGTGTAATGTGTTTAAGAGCCAGTTTCCCTTTGAAAGTCTTCCATAAAAGCATCCCTCCTGTTAAGTAAATAGCACTCTAGTGCTTTGCATAATTAAATAAACCAAACCAAACCGAGGGCAAAAAAATCACTAAACCAAGGGCACTAAATCATGCTACTTGGTGGTCAAAGGGATAATAGTAAGAACATAAAACAGTATTAAAATTAACACACTGCATTTTTGTGGATGCCAGTTGCCTCGTATTTAGCACACATTTGTAATTAGCATCTATGTTCCCCATAGCCTTTTATCATTTGAGCAAAGGATCTTTTGTCAAATTTGTGACTATCATACATTTTTCTGTTAACTTTAATTTAAAACTGTGTAACCGCACGTTCCCTTAAGTCAAGGATGAATATTCCATAACATGTGAAGAAAACATATATTTATTTTCTCATATGTCGAACCTTTTTCAGTATTATACTCAAATATAAGACTTCATACTATATTTAAAGTTTATTATATACATCAATAAACCAGAGCTTGATCTTTCCATTAAAAAAAAAAAAAATCACATTACAGGAAATGAAATTTGAGATTAACACTACATTCAAATTTATATAATTTTAATTTCAGCTTCAACATTATTCATTTCCTAAATTAAATCTTAACCTGGACTATTTAGACATGTTATGTTCTACACTTCCTTCCCTACAAAAAAAGGGGCCCACCAGCATCAAGCGGTTAAGTCGCTGAACACTGGTAGTTCGGTCTGAGGTTTGAATCCTGCAAACAGGCTGGCTGTATGGATGTTTTCATGGTTTTCCACATGTGTAATGTGTATACAAGCCAGTTTCCCTTAGAAATTCCTCCATGAAGGCATCCCTCTGCTTAGGCAGATAGCCCTCAAGCTATAAATTGCTATAAATAACATAAACCAAATCAAACCTTGCAAAAAAGTTAGGAACAGATTATCAAATTTAACATGGCTTTTTCTCTGTCATCACTTCTCTGAAACTGACTACTTCTCCTCAATATACAAAAACTTCTGGTACTGAACATCTTTTTTTGAAATGACAAGCTTTACACAAAATTAAAATCATGTAGAACTGCTGGTGGTCATCGTAGAGAGGGTTCACTGTATTTATTAAAGGTCAGAAATTTATTCAACTATTTCTAAAAATGTAAATTAATCAACAAAATCTGATATTAAGTACTTTGTAAGCATAATTAGTAACAACTTCCAAGTTTGATTTAGTATATATGATTATAGTTTATTACACTAACGAATGTCATTTGCTTGACAGATAAGAAGAATTTCTTTTGAGGAGCTGTTTTGCTTGGAGGGTTGGTTTAGTTTGTTTGATTATGGAAAGCATACAAGGTCTATGTGGGAGGGATGTCTTTGTGGAGGATTTTCTAAGGGAAAAACTCTCATATCCATGTTACACATGTGGAAAACCAGGTAAGTGGTCATGCAGCCAACCTGTCCAACTGAAATCAAACTCAGATCGAACTATCAGCGTTCCAGTCACTTTACCACTCAGCCGCTGTTGGGCTGTGTGGGGAGGGCCATGAAGGTTAGGTTATTTCATTACGGCAAAGCCTCGAGGGCTAACTGCCTAAGGGGAGGGATGCCTTCGTGGAGGACTTTCTAACGGAAACTGGCTTGTATACACGTTACACATGGGGAAAACTACGAAAACGCCCATGCAGCCAGCCCGTTCACAGGATTCAAACCTCGGACCGAACTACCAATTTTCAGCGACTTTACCGCTCGCGCTGGTGGGCTCGAGGGCCATGAAGGAAAATAATTACATGCACTGAAAACTGAATTCTAAACTAAATGTATAAAGAAAGCAATGGAAATTCACTTATCAACACTAGTTCTTATTAATTTAAAATACTGCTTAAAATAAATTTATAAAGCTATTGAATGAAAATTTTCTGTTAACGTATTTCAGACATGTGTAAGGAGTAACAGATTAATTATTTCTAATATTATTAAGTAATTTTTGGTTAATCTTTGAATTATGGTAACTTGGCGATTTTTTGGCGACCAACCCTGCTACAGCAACCTGCTAGTTTTTGTTTGGACGCCATTTTGTTTTCACAAAGTAAAGGCATATTCTTTTTTTTTTACTCAACATTTTTTTCGAACAATCTGCTAGCCGAATTACGCTTATGCTAGAACTTTTATGGAACAAAAGTGCTTAATCATGACGAAGATTAGCTGCGAAATTGGGAGAAAGTGTAGAATTGCCCACTGCTTGCCGCGTTTTTAAAAATTGTACATACACGGTATCATCCATGTACACGAACTATTTCCACTTAAAAAAATCCCAGAATTGCGCACACTCTTGACTTTATCCATGCACACTGCTAAAGTCCTAGCTAGTAACCTTTATCGCCTTACCAAAATGTCGCCAAACTACCTGTTACCATATTCCAAAGATTAGCCTAATTTTCTTATAAAGGAATTAAAAAATAAAAACAAACAAAATGTTCTTTAGAGAAATTATTCTACTATTAAAAATCATATACTACTGGAATTAACATCCCACTTTATCCAAAATTAAATAAATGCATTTTTAATTGAGAAATCAAGTTGTGCAGAAATATTAAATATGAATACATTAATTAATCTTAATTATTTAAAAAAACTGAATGTGAAGATGGGAAAATTAAGAGAAAAAAAAGCTTTGTAGACTATTTGCTAGGAAATCTGACATTCTGAAAAAATGAATACATGCATACACACACTCACTCATACTTATATGTATAAAACACACACATATTGATAGATATAATTCACATATGATTAATTATATATTGAAAAATATATGTATGTGAGCATGCATGTGTATACACACTCAGGCATATAGTGAGAAATTTTGTAATGTTTGAGACATAAATTTATATTCCTTCTGGAACAGTAAGGAAATAATACTTTAAAGGAAAATTTAAAAAATAGTGTCACTAGAACAAATTTACGTTGCAAAGTAAAAATGTTTTTCATTCAAACAACGCACTTCCTCACGCCGAATAACAGAATGTAAACAACGTCAGAATGTGACATCACTCATGTGGGCGGAGTTAATGGTGATCCTTATCTGGATTGTCATTGGCCAAACTTAAGCTGTTGTCCTAGCAGTGTACATTTTGCTTATATGCGCCCGGGACGTCTCCAGACTCGCCTTCACTGGTCATCGGGGCTCAGTTCAAAGCGGGACTCATCGCTGAAGACTATTCTACTCCAGTCAGTGACATTACAGTGCGAATGAGCCCAACACCACTGCAAATGGGCTTGACGTTGTACAGAGGTCAATGGTAGTCGGCGCAAGGGGCGCCGTGACCTCAATCCCCTTTCTGTGTGCCGTCTATGAATGGTCCTTGCGGTCAATGAAGCACTAGTTGCACGTACAAATCGATGATAATGATGCATCTGGAGCTGTGAGTGCCGCTCTGACGATTGCTCGGTCTTCACGTTCTGTCGTTTTTCTTGACGCTTCCTTCTTGACGCTGTGTGCAGCCATGGTTCACCCATTCATGCCAACATCGTCTAATAGTGGCATCGCTCCTGCTCAAATGTCGAGCTATTCGCCGATAAGACCAACCGGCTTCTTTGAGCCCACTACACGACCTCTCTCAAATTCTGACATTTGCGCATATCGTTCGCGCACTTGTATGCGAGGCATAGTTACTGTCTACCTGAGTATACGGAATGGAATTCGTGAAGAATTTATAACCTGGAATCGTAATCTCTCCTCTTAAATATCCTGCCAGTTGCGCAGATCAGATGCGCTGTAGCGACAACCGTTCATTCATTTGCAGCCAAAATGTACAATTTTGCATTTTCCGTTGAAACCTGTATGCATATGAATTTGTGTCCAATTTGCTTTATATCGTCTCGGTGCGTAATGGTGCGTCGTGTTTTTTTTTTTTTTTTTTTTCTTTGTCTAAGAGTGTATATAAGAAATTGTCGTAATTGGTATGATTAAAGAGTATATTGTCTATGAGAAATTATTCTAGTGTACCTGGAAATCTGGAAATAAAGATGATTTAATTCGCTGAATTTAGTTTAGTATCAACTCCTTCCTCTCGCCGTACCACTCAGCTATTGCGACTGTGCTTCGAAATTATGACATATATATAAACCTACATAGCACCTCCACCACGACAATAATAATAATAAAATAATTTATTAAAAAAATTTATGTATAACGTCCCGAATTTTGAATTTGAAATTTGGTCACCTTAATTTATATGGTACATGTACAATAAACAAAATTCTGATATTTGTTTCCCTTTATGATGTAACATTTTTAATGTCTAGCAGTCTATATTGCAGATACATACCAAAAGTTGCATTCTCTTTTATCTTTTAAAAGGAATTCAGGACACAGAATATTTTATTATACTATGATGAAAGGAATCAATGGCCTGCAGTTTACAAGAAAAATAAGGTAAGACAATTTTCATTTTCTACCATTTCATGTACTTCACTTTTGAGTAAACAAACAATGTTCGTTATCATTCGAGTAAATAAAATTATGAAATGCGTAAAGATAAAGAAAATTAAAAGCCAAAGTGTAAAGTCACAAAGTAACAGGGAAATAAAGCAGGACTTTGAATTATCGATATTCAGGCGTACGCTAATTCCACAGTCGACATTTTTATGTCAATGATAAATTGCATATTCTCCATAATGTGTGTTATTAATTTCACTTACATAAAAATGCTGCAGAAATTTGTTCAGTAATTTTTTCACTATACCCATATGCTAGCCTATAAATATCAATGCCAAGGTTAATTTTGTTATTCGGTGGTTGAGCTCAAAAAGAAATCACGTCTCACAGAAATCCAGAACTGCATCCAAAGAAGAATTTGTTTTGTATAATGATAAAATATGGAAAGTATGATTAATTTTGAACTAATAGAAAATAAATATACAATCAGTACTTTTGTTGTCATAAATTAGATAATTTGAAATGAATTTTAACCATCAAACGAGCTGTATTGATCAACAGACTTCATGTGATTCTTCAATAGAATAATGCTAAATCATGCTTTCCAAGAGTAACATGATTATGAGCTTAATTACTGGGAAATTCGTCCTCATTCTCGTAAGAGTCCAGGTATTGCTCCTTTTAATTATTTATTACTTATTTATATCAGTGCAAAATTTTCTTGTTGGCAATACGTTTAGCGAGAAAATCTGTTTAAGCAAAAGTGAAATGAGAACAAATGCAATAAGTATCCGTGAGGTATTTTATTTATTTATTTTTTTTCCGTTGAAATCCAGTGGCGTTCCGTCAGCTGACTTCGGCTTAGCCACTCCTAAGGCCAGATGGAGTCACTTTATTATGGAGGAACTTAGTAGGTGAGCTTTTTGGCTTCTATGAACGTGTAATGTCTTCTTTGGGATTCGAACCCAGGCCTTTTGGTTTCCGCAGTCGGCTCCTCTAACCACTATACCGTCTGCGTGGCATGTGAGGTTAATTTTTTTTTTTTTTTTTTTTTTTTTTTTTTTTTTTTTTTTTTTTGTCAACTGTATGATGTAAAAGTAATTTAACAGTTAGAAAGAATGAAAGAAAAATATAAAAACATCTTGCTGCACAACTTGTCGTAATTCACGTCTTTTTTTATGCTTGTGCTTAACTTGTCAAGAAGTTTAATGCTTTTCATCTCTAAAAACAGCAATTTATTAAGAAAAGTAAAAGAGAAATTTAATAACTTCTCATTTAATGTTTATGCGCTCTCAAAAAAGATGAAAAGTGCATGAAGTGATAAATACAAATGAAAACTGACAGGATAACTATGTGCTTAGCTCGCTGCTTTCCAAAGCCCTGCAAATAAAAAAAAGTATACGTAAAACAGGCTTTAATTTATGTATGTGTGTCTGTAAATGAAGGAAATGTAAATAAAATAATGTTCATGTAATGCCAGAAGTTAACTGCTGCCAAATGATATTGCGTGATCTTGAATCTTTGCGATGTGCTAGTAGTTATTCTTTTACGATAAAATAAGTGATGAAAGAGGGTAGTAGAACATACGAAAAGTACAAATTGCTCCTGAGAATTTTCTACATATGCAAATTGTAATGTTAAAAATTAAAACCATTACGAAATGCGAATAATACTGATTCTGTCTGACAACAGCCAGATTTAAATGCATCCGAATGATACTATATTCACTACGGTGATAAATTTGCGTAATAAAATTGCAATAATATCGGAAATTGCTTATCCTATAATTATTAGCACACAGAGGCGCTTTCAGAGACTTCTTGAGAAAAGAGGGCGAATGGTACGCATAATTTGCAAGTGCACATCGGTATCGCCACTGAGACAGAGGTTCCAATTATGTGCCAATGAGCTTCTACTGCAGTTATGACGCTGAATCATTGAAACTATGGATATGAGCGCATATTGTTGTTTACGTTTTATTTTGGATTTGTTTCGTAGTTATGCATGTATAGCGCTACCATTTTAGAAGAAAATCTCGTAGTTTTTTCATTTTATAAGTGTATTTAATCGTCAGCATTTCATTTTCGTGAACCTTATCACGCGTTGATATTCGGATTAATGTTCGGGAAATATTACCGCTCTTTGTATCGAGAAAATGACTCAAGGTACAACCAGCGTCGAATATTACTCGTTTAACTGACATCTAAGGATTAAGAGAATTCAAGTGTACAGTTTTTTTACTGAGCTGAGAATAACTGTAAGTGTTACAATGAATCTAATATTTTCTTATCTTAATGCTTGCATTCCCTTGATTTTGAAAACGTAAGATTCAAAATATATATTGTAAATGATCTGATTATACCTATTGTTAACATTAAAAGTTACATATAAATAGATTAAAAATATTCGTTGTGAATGAGATGCATCTATTCTGCCTGCTATTTCTTGCGCAGGGAATACATTTAAGAATGAAAAGTTATTAACGTGAAATTTAACACGCTAAATATATAGGAATGCAAATTACGAAAATTCACTTAAGCTGTGCATTCGCTTATAAAACCGTGCATTCGCTTATAAAACCGTGCATTCGCTATTATTATAGAACATAATTTTCACATAGACTGCAATAAAAATTGCTAAGACCTCTGTAATTTATGCATATAATTATGCTTATATTTTAGCTAAATTCACACTGAAAATTTTCACAAGTATCCACAATGCATTAATTATTTTGTGCAGGAAATTGCGTGACACAATATTTTCAACCATCTTGCTGAAAGTGCGGTAAATGTCATGTAAAATGCCAGAAATATTACTGGAAGCCCATTGGTCCATTCTAGAAGTCACTCCCAAAGTGGCTATACAGATGTGCACTTGCAAAATATGCGAACGTTACACCTAAGATAGAGAGATAAAAGAGCATATAAATTACTGGCGAAAGTTTCTTGTATTTTTCTGAGCAGCAGCTTGCAAATAACGAAATTCCTAACAAGACATTATCTTTATACGACTGCATAGGCTGATTAGAAAGTTTTGAGACTGATTCTGTAGAATCAGATGTCTCTTATATGTTCTATATTGTTTCCTTCTTCAGATATAACACTTATATTTTTCATCGTTTCTTTACAAACCATTCAAAAACATGATACAAATTTTGCGACATCCTCTTTAACACTGCGGACGTAGTGATTTTCACTTTCTCATACGAAGATTGCTTTTTTATATTCAGCTGATTTTTTAATATTGAAAATGCCAGAAATCAAGTCACTAACGCTAGGCTATATGCAGGTAATTCTAGGTTATAAGTCATTAACTTTAGGACCATATACAGTATTGATAGATGGAATTGAAACAATTCTGCCAATACCACAGCAGCAAATGCAGTCCGGCATTATTCTGGAAGAAACGAACATTGAATATATGCAGGATTTTCTACCTCATTGCTCCAGGCAAAAGCTTTTTAAGTCATTTACATAATAGTTACTATTCAATTACAGATACCCCAGATATCAAATATAAAGATATACAAATAAATATCCTCCCGTAAATAATTTACTTCTTTGGTAAACAATATACAAATAAAAAAGTAGTTTTAGGATTTATTTTAAGTACGCAAAAATTAAATAAAATTCTAATGAGACAGATATGCTTGTTTTCTGCTGCATAATAAATTAAATGCTGGTGCGATATGTGACACTGCTGGACATAAAGTAATGCTTTTTAAGTCATTTTTTAGTCTCCTTGTTTCAACGTTGAACGACATTTGGTTTTAATTAGCGTTGAAACTGGAAAAGTAATTTTATAAAAATGTATAAAAATATGTGGGGCTGAATGAGAGAAGAACATTTAATGCCATTTTAGAAATAGTGAGAAATCTAGTTCTAAATCCAATCCAGAATTCAACAAGGATTTTTCTGAAAACTGAAGTTTTAAGTTTGAATCGCTAGATAGTTTTACAAATTCCTTTCGCATAACAAATTCCTTTTGCATTTTTATATAACGGGTAATTAATCTCATTAATATCAATTAATGTAATTTCTTTAAAATCTTAGGAATGCAGCTCCTTTAAATTGAACTATCAAAATGAATTTTTGCGGCAACAAAATTTCGATTTGTGACCTCATTTGGGATCGTGACCCATGATTTAAGAAACTCTGCTGTAACTAATTTACATTTCTGGTCAATAAACGGAAAAGGAGAAATTATAGCAAAAGTCTATATCGTAATAACTGGTTAATTAAAATAATAATAACCCTGCACACGGTCTGCCCATAGGTGTGCAATGTTGACATCCATAAACGTTCTTTTTTTTACCATTTGCGTGTTATTATTGCCTTAATATGCTTCAGTTACTGAAATAATAATTACGTGGTTAAATATTTCTTCATTATTGCTTTCTTATGTTTAATACAAAAAAAAAAAAAAAAAAGTCACATTTGTGTATAGTCACAAAGACGTCTTCTTCGTTTACTAGTCCAAAACATACTAGGTACTTCCATTAGCTGCGACCAAATATGAAAGGCCATGGCCATTCAGCTGCAGTTTAAGGTATTTCTGCACAGGGTTGTCAAATCTAATATCAGAAAAGAGAAAAAGAGGTAGTTTCAAAACTTTTCGGTATTTTATAATTGGGATTATTTAGTAGATGCGAGACAGACCAGTTATAATGGGACTAGTGAATTCCATTTCTTGCATTGACATAATGGATCATTATACTGTTAACAAGCTTTTGATAGAGGGTGACTCGTACGCCAGTTAAGTTTGCACAGAAAACCTTTTGACTTTGACGTGACTCTGCTTTACAAAAGGGAATTCGAAACAATAAAGTAAACCTCCCCGATAACATAGATTATCTGACAGTTGATTACTTAAGACAATACTGTTGCTTTATATCTACTTTAATGACGAGCCTTTGCTGAATGGAGTCACAGAGTCCTGAGATTTTTGTAATTTATACCTCTAAAATTATCTAATGAAATTTTAACTGCCCAGACTTTCGCAAGCAAAGTAATAAATCATTTGTATACTATCAAGCATGCATACTTATGTACATCCAATTTTTAAATTTTGTTCCAAATTTAAGCAGTTAAATTTCCTTTTTATATAAAAGTACTTAATATATATACATGGTGACTCAAAACTCTTGAAGAAATCTTTACGAGGGGATAGAAGACCCCTAAACAAGCACGTTTCGTCATACAATGCATAGACGTAATTCAAGAGGTGAAGTTATAATGCTGGCCATCATTGAATGAATATAAACGTTGGCTGCACCGGAGAAGTTTTTTTCAAGTTATGAGGCAGATCATAAAACCTCTGAACGACTGCGAATATCTTCACGAAATGAACTTCTTGGCTGGCATCATAGGATGCATGCCGTCCAAGGAATGTGAAGACACTGTGTTACAGATAAACTCTGCCTATATTTAGAAATCGTGACGGATAGATTACTCGAGAAATTTCTAATGCTGTAAATGTGTCCCATTCGACAATGGTGTTCATTCTACGAGATGAACGATTATACCCTGGCTATACATGAAAGTGTAAGCCCGTGAAATCGGAAAGTGACACTTTCCGATTATTAGCTTCGAATCGATTTTGTACACTAGTTACTTCAGCAAACTCAGCACAGCCGGATGTTCCTGTCTAATTCATTTGCGAATGCGCCTGAGAGAATTTTTAATTACGATAATTTTCTTGTGTAGGTAATCGGCAATCCAAACGCCGCATGTCCATTATTAATATATTTTTTGTGAACTTGCTTTCTAAGTTGCATAATGGAAATTTCGCAGTTTGATTCAGTTATCACAATCATCTATTCCTCGTAACAAAACCAAATAAACCTTTAACTGGATGATATGCATCAAAATCTGAACATCTCGTTTAACTAATGGCTTGATTTATCAGTCAGGTCGTCCTGAGTATAGTATGTCATCTTAAAATAAAATCATAACTATTTCTAAACGCAGACCAAGAGAACTGTGCTCAAATTTTTCATCATACTCAATAAAGGTTGAATAAATAGGCTTTTAAAACGTCTAATTTAATAAAGCATTCGCTATCGAAACCGTTTCAGAGTTAATCCAGAACGGATCTAACGCTATGGATTCTTTATTGTTTTATTTTAATTTGTTTATTACTTTGCTGTTTTTGAAAATGCTTTTAATTTCGCAGACATGCAGAGAGAAAGAAGCCGTATTGTTCATACCCAATGGACAGTTAATTCCTTTAAATGAAACAACTTTCCGTTCCGGATGCTTTGACAGTATGGAAGAAGGCCTAGAAGGTTGGATCCACTGTCACAGTAGAAGGACATTTCAATCGCGAAGAGAACGATGGTGGTTTATCGCCATTAGTAACTGTGACACAAAAAAGGTAAACTTTTATAAATATTGCCTTTAAGAAGTAATTTGTTCTGATGCAGGCTGATTAATATATTTCTGATATACTCAATATTTTTAATTTGTTAAATTACATGCATTTATAAAAATTAATTACAAGCTACTGATTGTCATAAAATACTGAAGAAAACATAGGCTTCGCTGCTTGGGTCGCCTTAAATATTTAATAGCTTAAAATGTTGGTGTATACAAAATTACTACCTGTTTTAGATGCATATTGCAATCGGAAAAGTTACATGATAGATAATGCTGGAAAAACAGGAATTTTTTTGTCAATAAATCATGAAATAATTAGAGCATATAAACAGAGTTTATCAGCCCTAGCAACAGCAAGCATTAAACATAGAGCACATCAGGCATTGCTTAGTTTACGATTCTGATACAGTAATACTAATATTTATAATAGTAATATTTATATACATTAACATTTATCAAATGCGGGGATTCTCGTATGTGAACTTCAGTACAGTACATGGAACCGCTGGTTTTAAAAATTTCGAAAAGATGACAGAAGATGTAAAGCAGTAGAATATTTTTGTACATTGTAAGAATGTGATAAAATGCTATTCATGTGATCCAAAATTTTATATTAGAATTGAATTCTATACTATCTCTTTAACTGATATATAAAAGAGATAAAAATACTATAAATTTAAATTACAGTAAAGTTTCTAGGCCGCACAGCTATCAAATTAAATAAAACAGCTAAGCTATAAATTTTTGATAAGGAGGAAACACTCAAATCTTCTAGTTCAACAAATATTGCAAAAAATTCAAGTTTGAAAACTCGAATTTCGCTCTTTTTTTATCATTAAAATGATTTTAAAGAGAAGAAGGATTTGGGGGATTAGAATCTTCCGAAATTTAACCTAACAATCGTTAAATGTCTTGACCCAAAACTTTGGTAAGACTAGTTCCTGCCCACTTACTCCGGTCTTACGACGTCCGATAAAAGCGTTCATTAAAATAAAAAATAAATAAATAAAATAAAATCTGAAAGGGTTCAAATTTTAACGATGACCCAAAAGAATTTGTTAAGGTGTTTTACGCTCTCGTTGAGCTCGCAGTCTACCAGTTTGATGTTGCACTCATTCCTGCTAACCCTCCTTTTTTTTAGTCTTTTTAGCTTTATTAAGCTTCATTTTCTTCGCATTTACGCCATGCAATTCAACAGCAAAATCACAACAATTTTAAAAGCAATGCAGCAGCATATGTTTAGAACTTCGATGCAGAGTTAAGAGTTGGCAAAACATTTTTACATTTTTTTTTAAGTATATTCTCAGTTTATCACATCAATGTTCAATTTTCTCACTAAGATGGCTTTAGAATTTTTTTTTTTTTCGTCTTTATGTTATTAACGTTTTGCGTGTTTACTTTATTTATTAAATATCACGTTCTTGGCGCTTGCCCGGTATAAAATTCGATTCATCTGCAAAATCACAAAGCATTTAAAAACAGCATATCTAGAATTTCCTAAATTTAAATTTTAATAAATAAATTTAAGTTTCCTAAATTTAGAATTTTAAATTTTCGTCACTATTTAATTTCTTTAAATGTAATACAGCCACCACGTTTACCAGAATGCAGATCCTAATTTTTTTTAAAAAAAGAATTTAGCTTTCATATTTAGTGTTTACCTACAATAATTCTTGAAATAATTTCGTTTCTTCTTGCTCTGAGTTGAAAAAATTCTGGAAAAATGTGAAAAATGTAAACTGTAAAATCAAATATATTTAGGCAAATGATATTGACGTAATGAATCTCAAGATTCAAAAGTTTTAAGTACGCACTTCATTTATTAAATTTCCTTCGTATCTTTTTAATGAATTTAGGATACTTTTAAAACTGTATTCTCAAATATTGGGCTTCGTTAAAATCCAGAATTGAAATTTTGCTTCAATTAAAATATTTTTACATTAAGTTAGGGTTAATTATTTTTATTATTTTTTATTGTTATTCTTACGCAAGGGATTTGAGAACATTTTTGAATTTGGTTTCAAGAAAATTTCTGTTTCGTTGATTCGTCCCAACTTTACTTTTTGCGATGTGAAACTGCTTAGCTTAGCCATAGAAAAAAAAATTAAAGTATGGTTAAAATTTAAACAAAAGTAGTTAAGTCAAATGACGTTTACTGCATTTCCCAGGAAAAGACCACAATAAACTGCAACCAGATTAAATGGCAGAGTTTTAGAAGTTAATACCAAATGTATATAACTTAGCTATCAGCTAGTTGTTAAACGTTTTTTCCCCCCTTTCTCCTTTTTTTTCGGGGGGGGGGGGGGGGGTATGTGTGTGTGTTTGCGGGGGGGGGAAGATAAAATTGTGAAACTTGAACATAAGAAGTGAATTTCTTTGCGAAGGTCAAATTTCACATTAACGTTCGTAGTGAAGGTCAGATTTGATTTCGGGTGTAAAAGCGAATGTGAAGGGTGTGTTTTTCACGGTATGTCAGAGAAAATAAGTAAATGAATAAGTAAAAGAAGTATCAGGCAATCTTTAATAGGAACAAAAAAAGTTATGCGGAAAAAAAGAAATCTGAAAGGTTTCAGATTTTAAATTACATCCAAAACGTTTTTTAACGTTTCGTGTGTTACCTTTATTTATTAAATATCATGTTCTTTGCACTTAAAATAAAATTCACTTCAACAGCAATGTCGCAAAATAATTTTAAAATGAGCATATCTTTAGAATTTCCGATACACAGTTCCGCTCGCTGGAGATAAAAAGTTTCCCCTCCCGTAGAGTGTTGCCATTGCTCGGTTTTAAATCTTAAATTTGTTACTCAAAAACTCGTTAAAGTTTTACAAAATATGAAATCGATAATAAAACAAATTCCAAATTTGGGCTTCCACATGCCCATATTCGTAGGAGGATTACGTCATTCATAATTCGATGGCTCTAGGTACGGTTGTTTTATCACAATGCAAGAAACATACATATATTTACTCAGATTCTTCATTATTTAAATTCTTCAAATACAATGCAGAGCGATAGTATTTGGTAGAAACGATTTGAAAAGCGATACGCCGTTTATATGGTTCCGACGCAGCATCACAAAACGAAAACAATAGTCCTTCAGAGACAAAAAAAAGAACCGAAAGGTATATTAAGTTGCATACGCTGAACTATTTGTGTAGGCCTATATTTGTTTTTCGACGCTAGAATATCTGTTTCGATGTTTCTAAAAAAATAAGAAAGAAGCCTTATATACTCAGAACTGCATTTTCACGAGAATGCTTAAACATGGAAAAAAAATAATGGGTTAACAGGAGTGAGTGCAAGAGCAGACTAGTAGACTGCGAGCTCAGCTCAAGTGTGAGTACAGGATCAGACTAGTAGACTGCGAGACTACCGAAATGCGAGCAGACTGGTATACTGCTATCTGTGAGTGTAACAAAAAAACCTTACCAAATCCTTTTGGGCGACGGTTAAATCTGAAACCTTTCACATTTTTTTTAGCCTAAAAGTGTGTTAGCCCGAATGGGCTATTAGTCTCAAAACCGGAACTCGTCGAGCACTATAAAAGGCTGTATCACTTTTCAGATTGTTGCCGCCATATATTATCGCCTGTATTTTTTTTAAAGACATTGAATTATGAAGAATCTGCATGAATATATGTATGTTCCTCGGATTGTGAAAAACGGCGGTACCAAGGGCCATCAAAATTTGAAGGCATAGTCCTCTACACAAACATGGGCACCTGGATGCCGGAATTTTGAATTTTATATTTCATTTTTTGAAAAGCTTTAATGAATTTTAAATTAAGCACAAGCAGTGGCAATATTGTATGTAATAAAACATTTTTATCTCAAGGGCATGAGATTGTATATCCGAAATTCTAATGATATGTTGTTTTTAAATATTTTGTGATTTTGCTGTTTAATTGGATTGTATGTGAGGTAAGTGCGAACATGATATTTAATTAATAAATTTAAAGCACAAAACGTTAAGTAAAAAAAAGTTTTGTAAGTCAGCTTAGTAAGAAAACTTAATATTGATATGATGAAACGAGAAAAGACGGAAAAAACACAATAAAACAAAAAAAAGGGGGGAATATATATATCAAAATATTGCATCGAGAATTCTAAACATATGCTGCTATGTTGCTTTTAAATTTTTTGCAATTTTGTTGTTGAATTTTATATGGCACAAGTGCAAATAAAATAATGCTTAATAATAAAGCTTAAAAGACAGAAAGAAATGGGGTAGCAGGAGTGAGTACAACAGCAGACTAGCAGACTGGGAGCTTAGCAAGAACGTAAAAGAACCTTAGCAAACTCTTTTTGGACGATCGTGGAAATCTGAATTTTTCAGATTTTTCTTCTCTCTCTTTGAGACTACTGCAATAGGTAAAGCAACAAAAATTTCTATTTGTCTCATATGCTTGTTTAAAAAAAAATAACCGTGATAAAACCATTTACAATATAAGGTATTTCTCCCGCCTTCCTAGCATGCCTTCGTGGTGTGGTTGTCTGCACGCTCAGCGCGTAATAGAGAGGTCCGCGGTTCGATTCCCGGCGAAGGCATTGCCATTGCATATTTTTCATCTTTCCTGCTTCCAAAAATTACCTAATGTCTCTACAACAATAATAATATCATGCGCTGATAACTGATACTTAAGTGCTGAACCCTTGCATTCAGCTCAGTTAGGATAGATGCGAGATCAATGGTAAGTAAGCTAAGTGATAAGTGATAAGTGACGGAGGACGTGGGCACTGTCCCTTTACCTTAATGGTTAGGCACATTACTGGGCAGGTTATCGAAAACACTAAAAATGAGAATATTATGAACAGAATGCTGCAGACCACAGCTAAGGCGATGATGTAGGTTCCAGTGTAATTGTGAACAGGAAAAAAGTCAATGAGTGAAGAACATGTGGTATAAAATGTTAAGTGAAGACTAAAAATGCATAAATACAAAAAATAAATGTGGAATGTACTAGAATAAAATCGAATGATAATAAAAATGCTTAAA